CCCGGACAGAGACAGAGACATCGTGGGGATACTGGCAGTCCTGGGGTCCTTGGCTCTGGCCACCTTCATATGGCTCCTCATCCTTAAAGCCCCATCTGAGCCCACGTGAGCTCTGCCTACAGCCACTGCTCGCTGCTCTGGTGTCCTCCTCTGCCTGCCGCATCCCTGCCCATGTTTAACCTGGCCGAGCCAACCTCCCTGCCCTGTGCTCACAGAAGCCCACTGACCTCGGAGGACAAGCCACCACACACAGCATTCCCCGATGGCCTACTTTCCCGTCCCCCAAACCGAAAGGAGTCTGTCTCCCTAGCATCCTCAGGGGTCGGGTGGGGCGGGGAGGTCCAGGTTGAGAGTTGCTGAAAAGCCAAGGAAGAGCTCTGTCACATAGAGGCTTCTGCAGGGACCCTTTCTTTTGTATCCTACTGAGGAAGTGGCTGGGAGGAGGAGGAAGGGCAGTCACACTCTTCTTTACGCATTAGGGTGTGACCTGAGCTGCTTGCCTGCTCTGGAATCCAAGTGCTGGTCTTCAGCGGCTTTATGACAGCATGTTCTGAGACCTCTTTGCCCCTCAGTGTCCCCAACTTTTCATGCACAGGGTTCACCCTCAACAGATTCTGGACAAAGGGGAGCAAGGTGTGAAAAGCTGAGAAGAACCCGCAGACCTGACCGGATCACGACAGCACTAATGGCATCAAGGTGGTTTGTCAATGCAGATGGCTGTGACGAGGCCGAGCACTCTCTGTCCTTTGTCCCTACGGGTTCCCAGGGGGCAAGGGCAGAGCCAGCAGGACTGGTTTAGAGTGACCTCAGCTGCTTGTTTGGTTACATTTTCCAGGTCACAGGGTGACATGGAGATGTGGGTCCAGCCAAGGGGCCAGATCTGGACAGCAATGTCCTGCAGGGACCGGGGTCAGGCGGCTGCTCTGTGCCTCCCCACACTGCTGGCTGTGGGACACTCACCAGTGGCCCATGCCGTCTCAATGTGAGTGCATCTCCAGCAAGGCTCCTGGAGCCACACCAAGCCCACAAGTGACACACCAACAGCTCAGGCAGCCGAGCCTAAACTCCGGGAGCTCTCGGAAGGTGTGAGAAGCAGTGTTATATCGGCTACAGTAATTAATCCTTATTAAAAATTGCTGTGATTAGCAGTGTTCCCACCTTAGGCAAAGAGGGAATGATTCTTAATATGAACAGAGGCTCCTAATGAATCTCAAAACAGACCCCAGAATCTCCTGGCCCTTCTGTGGAGCCTCTGGGCTTCACTGCCCCTGGGAACACACTCTTATGCACAGCTCCCCAAATCCCTGGCACCATGAGGCAGGGAGGAGCCGTTACTTCCTCCACGGTAGCTTCTGGGGGCTGATGATGTCTGCCACAGCCATGGGGGAGACCACCTGGGGTTTCACCTTGATTAAGTACACAGAGGCAGTAAAATCAACAGAACTTACAGTGAGTTCCCTTGGAAGACCCGGGTCCTTTGACTCCCCAGGGCTGTGCCACCTTTTAGCCAGCACCCACCCACCCTCTCCCTGTGTACCAATGCTTCCCTGTACCATTCTCAAGGCACTTACATCTTTCTCCCCTAGAGTGATTTACCAGCTTTGCAAGCGGATGGAGTGATAAGATTTTCTTTTATAGGACACTGCAGTTTAATAATAAAGTAATTACTGTGACAAAATCCCATTTTGTGAGCTGGGGTTTTTCCCCTCCCATTCTCTGAAATCTGCCTCCAACGCAGCCTAGACAGGCTATCCAGGACATCCTGCTGATGTTCTAGAGTGTCCTGTGAAGCCCTCCTTGCTCCAAAAGGTAGCTAGTGTCAGCCCTGCCTTCTGCTGGTGCAATGCACCAGGGGCAGAGGCCTCAGGGTCCCTAGCAGGGGCCAGATGGGTATTGGGGCCATACGCTGGAGGTGCCCTGCAGGGAGTCAGGTACTCCAGGGAAGGAGCACCTGTGGTGTCCTAAGTGGAGACACCGGTGGTCTCCTAAGGGAGACAGGCAGGAAAGTCAAGGCCAGGCCCACTTTCCATGAGCTCCTACCAAATGCCAGAGCCCAACAAAGCTGAATTTATCATGGTGTTGACCCAAAGTCATCCTATGAGTGGTTAGAACTCTGAAACATACCACCACTGCCAAGTGAGGCTAAGAGACCGATAAAAGACAACAGGTGCCTCTCATTGATTATACAGGACTATGTGTCTCAGAGGGACATAACCCACCCCCGGTCTACCTGCAGCCCAGCCTCCTGCAGCAGGAAACAACCACGCTGCAACGCCGAGAACGGAATTCCACTGGTTGAGGTTTATTTTTTAATTCCCAGTCTGAGGGACACACACGGGTTTAGGGAGCTTGCCTGTTTAAATGCTGCAATTTAATGCGCCTCCAACTACGTCTCTTGTCTTGCTTGATTTCACGTCTTCTGCTCCTGATATCAAACGTGCTATTAGATTGAATGCACAGCTCACGTATGGCACCGGCCCACACTCAGCAGCAGACCTAAAGCCCCCATGAGGGACAGGAAAGGTAAGCTCTCATTCTGGAGCCATAGCTGGTACACCCCTTGGTGTCATCCCACCTCATGTGACATCCCCTTCGGGGGATGCAGTAGATTGTCTCTTTCCAAATGTGGTTTGGGACAAGCAGAGCCCCCAAATAAATGTGTTATTTGTTTTGTAACAGCCCCAGACCACCAAAGCTGTGCGTGTGCCTATAAAAACATACACCCACACTAGCCAGACATGGCTGCCTTCTAGATTTACGTACTGACTGCGACTGGACACCCTGCAGAACCATGGCAGGGTGCAGAAAATGAGGTGCTTCCAAGCCTAGCACAACTGGCACGTACTGGCCTTCGTAGGGGCATTCTGTCCATGGCTGATGCCCACCCCAGGTGGGCACGGGTCACTGGAAGTAGTTCTGCCTTCCCAGTGCCCCCACTGACACCTCGAAACGTCACCAGCCAGGGACATGTCCCTAGTGCTGGGGAAATAAGGCTTGTCTACTCTACAGGTCTTGCTGGTGGATTCATCCCAACTCTGAGCATTGGTCTGACTCCATTAAGACTGCCATTTTCTGTCTGTCCATCATCTTAACGCAGCCTTTGCGCTCAGCCTAGGAGGGCTGCGTGTCTGAGGCGGACGCTATGGTCCAGCGTGGTAAAGTGACCTAGCTAAGACAATGCAACCAAGAAACCACAGGCTCGTGTTCAGGACTTTGTCTCCAAGCCCTGGGCTCTTCCCTCGGACCACCCAGCCTTGCTTTCAGCTTCCCTGAACATTTCTGCTTGTAAGACTGGCTGTGGGGCAGAGTCTTACTCCCAGGAGCTGGCGCTAAGAGGTCTGGGACTTGTTAGGAACTCATGTCCTTGGCCCCACCTCAGAGACCCCTGACTGATTCCTAAGCTCATGCGGATGCAGGAGGAAAGCTCACTTCTGAGACCCAGCCTGTCTCAGCGACGACAGGAAGTCAGCAGTGGCCTGGGCCCACACAACTTCTTGCCTGTGGGTCTGGGGGAATCCCAAAAGCTCTTGGGTCGTGTCCAGGAACCCCCGAATGTCACAGACAGTCTCAAAAAGGTGAAGCCAAGGGCTGAGGGCTCAGGGCTGCCAACCACTTCTGGTCACCCTTTGGTCCTGCCCATCGCATAGTCCTAGGAAGTCCCCCGACGTTTCCTCTGCAGTGGCGAGTATGTCTGGCAATTCTCACTGCAGGGACCCTGGTAAAGGGTCTCATAGAGCCCACCACCCAAGTCCAGCCCCACCTAGAGTCTCTCAGGGAATCCAAAAAGCACACTCACTCTCCATTCAGTCTCCAGGTGTCCATGGGGGTGGGGTAGGAGCAACTGTACTTTAGGGTCCATGCCTGGCCTGACCCTGTCCAGCTGCCTCGGGGTGGACACCCTGTATTTATGCTTTTCATCCCCATTCCCATCCCAGAATGCAAATATAGTCCTATGGGGGTCCCTCGCTGGGCCGAGCAGGCCCCAGGACAGCAGACTAAGCTTTTCACAGTCCCGCCAGGCCTCTCCAGGAGGCCACCTCCACCTTGCAGGCCCAGGAGACAGCAAGGGTGTGAACCCGGAGAAACCTAGTGGGTGGAAGAGCAGACTGGAGTTGTGGGCAGTCAGGGTGGGTGAGGCCAGGGTACTGCAGCCCCAAGCTGGCTCTGATCACACGGGCACCGGGAGTCCAGCAAGGAGGGCCTGAGTGAGGCGAGGGAGTCCTTCCTAGGTTCCAGTGCAGGCCTGGGACTGCACTGATTCCGCACTGGGTGGGAACGCAGGACCCCTGCCCCTGCGCCCTGACCGCTAGGAAGGCCGATGTAGAGACTCCGCCCCCCCCCCCCCCGAAGCATCTTGGAAACCTGGGGAGCAGAGTCGCTTTGTTTCCTGCCCCCTTTCCCCGCCAGCCCGAGCTTTCTGCGCAGCCCCGCAGACTGAAAAAGTCTGGCCCCAGCCCCCTCCGGGCCAGCGCTCCAGGGCCGCCCTCAGCAGTCCCACCAAGCCGGTGGCCTGACTCCCCCGAGGCCAGGCGCGCAGTCCGCGCTGCAGCAGAGCCCTGCGCCCCCGCTGTCGCCTCTGCGCGGGCCCCCTAGCTCTCCCAAAGCTGGCAAGGAGGGTGCCTGGCTCCCCGCCTCCGAGTCCCCCGCGGCCCGGCACGAAGTTCCCCTAAGTGACCCGGGCGCCGAGAACCCCCGCCCCCTCCCCTTGGGCTTCCCCCGAGACTCCGCCCGCCGCCCCCTCCCGCGCCTTCGGAAAAGTTGCAAGCGACGCCCCAAACTCCGGCCCCCCCGCCCGATGCCGCGCGCGCCCCGGGGGCCCCACGCTCTGGCGCCGCACAGGGGCGCAGTTCCCCCCACCCCAACCGGGCGCCATGACGCGGGGAGCGCAGCGGGGCCACCCGCGGCGACGCGGAGGCTGCCAAGTGCGGGGCGTGGGCGCGGCGCTGGACGCACGTGCGCAGGGCCGGGGGCTGCGGCCGGGCGGGCCGGGGGCCGCTTACCTGTTGGAGGTAGAGGAAGGCGGGCGGGCAGGGCACGGAGTGCGGGAGCATGCTGCCGGAGTTGGACAGCAGGAGGCAGCCCGAGTTCGCCATGGAGCACAGCATGGGGCGGCAGGGGGGCGCCCGGCGGCCGGCGGAGCTCTGCGCTCGCTGCGTCCCTCGGTGTGTGCGCGCGCCCTGCCTCCCGGGCGCCCTCCCGGTCTCTCCTCCTCCTCTTCCTCCTTGGGGCCTCCCCTCCCCCTCGTGGCGCTCTTTAGGAGGGAGGCATGGAAAGGCCAGCGGCACACCTCTGCCGGGTGCTCCCCCTGCCCAAGCGGGGAGGCTGGAGAGAGCGCGCGCGAGAATACGGCTGGAGAATCTGTGCGCGAGAGGATGGATGCAAGGGAACGAGGGGGAGTCTGCCACTTTGGAGCCACCCGAGCCCTGTCTGCAAAGAGTGGTGCGTGTGCGTGTGTGAGTGCGCGCGTGTGCGCGCGTGTGTAGCGGTGGGAGGGGGAGTCCCTGGCGTACTCCAACATCAAACAGAGCCCCGCGCTGAGGGGAGAGAACCCGGACGGCGGCACCACAGCTGATCCCACACTTAACCCCTTGCCTACTGGCCTGTTCCGGGCCGCCAGCCCCTGCGCTGCCCTCCTCTGCCTGCGTGCTCCCGATCGCGGGGCCTGGGACCTCCCTGGGCCCCGCTCAGTCTACTGACCGCGGCCGCTGCGGAGGAAAGGAGCGGCTCTGCGGCCCGCCCGACCGGAAGGCGCTTGGTCCTGCCTGCGTTCAGAGAAGCGCCTCTCCTAAGGGAGGCCGGCTCAGCGGCGGGGATGTCGGTGATGTAATGAGGGCTTCTACGCAGAGGCTTCCGCGCTGGGAAGGCTTCTCGGCTGCCCAGGGCTTGGGAACCCAGCTGGAGCCCCCTCCCCCCAGGAGTCTCTTCTGATCACCTGCTGGCCCTCAGGTCCCGTGTTCTCTACTCCAGTTCTCTCTGCCGCAGGCGCGTGGTCCTGTGCATACTTGATACGGGGGATACAGGCCACCGTGTGTCCTCCCTTCCCCACCCCCAAGTCCGCTGGACTTGGTGTGCACAGTCCAGCGGGCAGGGGTGCACAAGCACCCCCCTCCTGACCCCAGATCCATCCTGGCAGAAGCCTTCAGGAGCCCTTTACGCCACCTGCTGCATAAACCTGCAGCCTTTCTAGCTACATGCACACCAGCCAGTCCTGCGAATGCACACTTGCCAGGTGGCCCTGGGTCAGGCAATTTCCCAGCACCAGCTGCGGGTGAGCTTGGCTGTGAGCAGGACAGTCCGCTGGTGGTTGCTGTCAGAGGCAGAGCAGCACAACCAGCCTGAAGCCTTGCTTACACTGTCCCCAGGTTCGGGCAGACTCAGGACATCCACGGCCAGTGCTGGACTGGGCTCTCCTTCCTAAAGACACTTGGTGTCCTCTCCTCTCATCATGGACAGCAAATTCCCCTCTGGAAGGAGGTAGGCCCAGGACGACCTGGCACTGGAGGAATGATTGGTGTGGCAGTGTGTGTGTGTGTGTGTGTGTGTGTGTGTGTGTGTAGTAACTCAGTGTGTGATCTCAGAAAAACCTCTTGTCTTTTTTGGGCTTTGGGTTCCACATTTAACTGGAGAGATTGATTAGATATTTCACCCACTGCAGGCGCATCGAGGAAGGACCATGGAAGAGGACGGAATGGTAGGCATGGCCTTCCTCCATGAGTTCCCCAACGAGGAGGCAGATAGGCACATGACCTTTGGGTAGTCCCTCTCAAGGTGTGTCCTGCACCTGAGCAAAACAAAACAGACCAAAGCAGACTGCAATGGTCTCCCCTGAGAAGAAACCCTGAGTGAAAGTCCAGGAGGAAGGTTGACAGGGGAAGGGACAGGATCAAGGGGGCCTGGTTTTGTGACCCTGCTCTCCTGACTTTATCTGAAATCCTGCTCTGGGATCTCCCAAGGTAGCACTGGCATGGGACACTCTACAGAGTCTTGGTTATGGCCTGGCCAAGACCATCCCTGCTTTGGGGCAGGCCCAGGCTGTTAGCTTGGTTTCACAGGTCAGACACTGCTGGGTGGCCCAGTGCCAAGGTCTGACACCTGAAGGGCCAGAGCATGAGGCTGGGAATCATGGTGGCAGCAGCAGTGTGACCTGACAGGAGAATTCTCCCACGGGTATGGCACCCAGAGTGGTTCTGGCCTCACCAGAACAGGGTCCTGGACACCTCCTCCCCCAGTACTGCAGCTTCCATGTCCTCTTTCACAAGTATGTCTTCTCTCGGCCTCGGTCAGTCACCCTGCCTGGTGCTGTCTTCCCTGGACACTCAGGAATTAGGGCCAGCGACATAGCATTTTGCCTAAGTCCTGGGCTCCAAAAGCATGAATCCTTGCATCCTTCACTCACTAATTCACCATTGTTATCAAGTGTCCACTGTGAGGACTTCTAGAAAGGATTTGGGAGTGTGTCCTGCAGAGCGCCTGTTACACAGCCACTCCTGGAGGTAACTGGCCATCTTTTTCTTATTGAGAACGGAGAACGCATTGTCTGCAGACACTATGCAAGATGCTGGGGCTGCAGAAATAGTTCTCTGTCCTAGAGTGAGTGCACTGTCTGGTGGGGAAACCAAGACGGCAGTCCACTGTGTTGAGAGTATCCAGTTGGAGGGCATGTCTAGACACCTGCCTCCCTCAGCCATCGAGTCACACTTGGGCTCCAGTGTGAACACAGAGCTGCAGAACAGAAAGAAAAGAAAACCTCCAGCAAAAGGCATTGAATAATATGTACTTCTGGCGTATTCACTAGGACAGGGGTTGCATGCCTGCTGCCTTTCACACTGTGCTCTGGACTTGTGACTTCCAATAGGAGCTAATTACAGAATGCCACGGACCTCGTTCTGCTGTGATTATTTCTTAGTCTCATGCAGGCTCCACTGCAGACTTCCCCAGCCATGATCATGCCCTCCTCATCTTGTCCCTGTCGTGCACTAGACAATGAGGGTGCAAAGTTCCTCAGGCCTGAGACCTTTGGCTGCCCTTCTAAGCTCTGCACAGACCAGGGAGGGTGGCCCTGAGTGGTGGGTGGGGGAAGCCCATGCACCTGGCGGCTCTTCTGCCCCCGCTCCTCAGTTGAAGGGAGGCTGTGAGCTGGGAAGAAGAGCTGTCAATCCAGTGTGAATATTCACTACTTTAAAAAGAGCCAAGGAAAAAATATCCCATTCTCCCTGAATCTGAGAAGGGCCTTGTTAAGGAGGCAGGAACTGCGCTGTAATTATCTCTGTGCTCCTGGGCACCACTATAAATACCAGGTGAAGAGGCACCTCAGAAGTTTTGCCTGGTTCCCAGGCTCTGGAGCACCTTCCTGGCCCATCCTGTGTCATTTTCCCAGGAAGGAGCCCTTCAGGATGCAGGCACTGCCTCCCCCTTCAGTTGGTCAGGGCCTGCCTGTCCCAACTTTCTGGGCTACATCACCTAGCTAGACACCCTCTGTCTGTTTGGTGCCTACCTCTGCAAAATGGGAGAATGTTTGCCAAAGTGTCTGGTGGGATCCTTGCCCTTGAGGTGGTCTGTGTTTGTAACAAAGGTGAGCTGATGAGTTCTGAGTCAGGATTTGTGGGAGTCTTGCCTGTGACAGTGGCTCCCATCTCACACCGTCCTCTGGGAATTCCAAAAGTTGCCCATGGGCTCTGCCCAGCAGGAGAGTCCTAGCCCTCCGTTCCTAAAGGAAGAGTGAGCGGGGCACCAGCCACTCATTATCCTGCCCCCTCCCCTTCCCGAGAGGCCAGGCTGTCTTGAGGCTTCTCCTGTGCAGGGAGGACATCGTGGGGCTTGGCAGAGGCCACTCAGGACTAGGGCTGAGCTCATAGGCTCCGGTTACAGCAGGCCCATCATTGGGCCAACCACACTGTCTGCTGTGGTTCTGCAGAGCCAGCCCGTCCTGCCCCAGCCTGGGTTTCTTGGCACAGGTGGGGACATGAGCACTGAAGAGGCAGAGAAGTAGAACTGGACCTTCCGCTGGGGTGGGCAGGACTCGGGGATGAGGTATGGGATCAGCCAAGGAGCCTCTGCGATGTGATCTAACCAAAGTCCTGCATCCCTAACCAGACACTCTCTCAGGGGAGTTACTGTCTCAGTTTGGGAGCTGAGGGAACAGGGTTAAAGGTACAGTGGAGTTGTCAGCCCAGAGCTGCCCCACAGTACCCCCAGCAGACACCAATAGCAGACCTGTCCAGTGCAGGTCTGCTATTGACAAGGCCATGCTGGAGGTGTCCAGCAGGGGGCCCACTCACACCAGCTGAGAATCCCCTTCCCCTGCAAGCCTGTGAAAAGGGGCTGGGGTTTTGGGGCTTCCCATCCTTGGGTCCCTCTGCCAGGGGGTCCTGGAGCACACACAAGGAAAGCCAGGCCCAGGGCTGGCTGCCATGGCCAGCACCCATCTTCCAGCTTAGTGGGGTGCCCCACCTACGGTTGCTGTCCCTCTAGCCCCAGTGGAGACTGCAGCAAAAGTACAAATCGGCGTGCAAAGGAAGTTTATTTATCTGTTTAATTAAGAGGCGTTTTCCAGCCACATTCGGGTCCATTCGTCTCACTTACAACCATGTCCCAGCAAAATTAAACATAATAAATACAGGGAGACTGAAAGCAAAGGGCATACTCGAGATATATGGGCCAAGCCAGAAGTTGCACAGGGCTGCAGTTATCAGCACATCTTTCTTTTGCAAGTTTCTCTCCCCTCAGGGCCTGGGAGCCAGAGGACTGCTCTTGAGAAGGGGCTGTGGGTGCCATCTGACTGCGCTTCCCACTCAGCACTCTTGCCAAGCTTTATTTGTTTTAAATGAGCCCCCAGGACTTCTCCTCTCTTCTCATCTGTGAAAAGGGAGAGAGCTGAGCACAGAGCAAAAGGCACAGCTGGAAGCAGCTGCGCCTGTGATGTTCCACCTCTGGGCTGCTGGGAAGAGGCCTCGGCAGGCCGTTGAGGACTTGGGAAGCTCCTCATACCCGCCCACCCCCGTCTGGCCCCTGAGCGTCTAGCAAGGCAGAAGCATGGACAGAGTAGAGCCTTGGAGAAACAATCTCCAGTTCTCAGTGCCAGCTGTGACCAAGGTAACATCCAGGGCCTGGCCAAGCAGCCCGCAAAAGTCAGAAGAAAGCAGAAGCAATGCTTTCATTTGTATCTCTGAGCTGAAGGCTCAAGAACTTTGCTGTTTGCTCAAAACTCCCAGGATAATGAGCATGCAGAAGGGAAATGGTGATTTATTATCATTATTGATTGTTAACTGTAACAATACCTTGCCTTTGCTTCATTCTCTCCTAACCTTTTCAAAGTGCCTTACTGGAGCTCATCTCATTTGATCACTGCAAGTTAGGGAGTGAAGGTTTGCTATATGATGACACTTTTAAGATCACAGAGGTGGCCCAAGGTCGTGCAACAAGTTAGAGGCAGAGTCTGGGCTGCAAAACAA